TTTTCCCAGAGTTTCCCTAAATTTGTGCATATGTGTGTGTGTGTGTGAGTGTGTGTGTGTATAATTTTATGTTTCTGTAATACAGAATCGCACTGCGGTGCACATCACTAAGCAGGAAGGAAAGTGAAGCGAGGGAAGTAACATCCTTTAGAAAGCCATACGGTTTCATAGTGTGTGTGCGTGTTTGTGTGCCGAGTATATGTGTTTGTCTATATATGCACACACGTGTGTGGGTGTGGATATGTATGTGCTTGTGTGTGTGCACATGTGTGCCGTGTGAGCATGTGTGTGGGGGGACGTGCGTGGGTGTTTGTACAGGGTGTGCAAATATGTGAGAGGATCAGTGAAAGTTTCTTCACGCATTTGGCTAGGCCTTGGCTCGCTCAGTAATTTCAGAGCCACTAATTACAAGTTGTCCGTCACCTGTAGAATGCTGTGTGGCTGCCCCATGCTCGTGGCCCAGTGAGACGGCCATCTCTCTCCCACCGATGACCTCCGTTCGAGAAGTCTCTGCGTTGGTCCTCCTCGCCCGACCTCTTCCTCTGAGCCACCGCTGTCATCACTGTCCGCGCCCTGCAGATATCATCTGTAGATACTGGAATCTTCCTCACCCTTTAACTAATAGTGAAAGAGTTTAAAAGCAAGTTATAAATTATAGGTACAGTTTTGCACCTTGCTTTCGGTAGTACGTCTTCTTAAAGAGTGTTGGGCCTTGGCTGATTTGCTCAATGGTTAGAGTTTCAGCCTGCAGGCCAAAGGGTCTCAAGTTCGATTCCTGATCAAGGGCATGTACCTGGGTTGCAGGTTTGATCCATAGCCCAGTCAGGGTGTGTGCATCCAGGAGGCAACCAATTGATGTTTCCCTCCTGCCCTCCCTCCCTCCCTCTCTTCTCTCTATAAATACTATATGTGTGAATTATATATGCCTCAGGTGAGGATTACCAAACAAACAACAAAAAGCCAAAAAGTGTGGGGGTAATGGAACGCTGTTGTTCTGTGACGTCAGCAGAGGGCTGGGTCTCAGGTAGACATTGGGTTGCTTTGTGTTCCTGTGGTCGGTCGAGGGCATCAATGAACGTCTGCCTTTCCAGACCCCCTTCCCACTAATTCCACGAATGACGAGGGCGTCGCATCAGCACCTCACCCTCCTTTCCATGCTCTCTGGATGAGCTGTGTGATTTTAGGCAAATTCTTAAACTTCAGTAATCCTCGCTGAGCTCGGCCTCCTGATGGTGTCAGGGCCGAGCTCACAGCCCTTAGAGATTGAGGTCAGCAGTGGTCCCGACAGGAGCAAGAAATGGCCCCTGCTGAGCCCCTGCTCTGTGCCTGCACCAGGCCCTCAGCATTCCTTGCAACCCAGTTGTTATGATTGTGCCATTTTGCCAGTGATGTGGTTGGCAAGGCCACACGGCTGGCAGGATGACAGCCAGGCAACTCTTACCAAGTTTGGATCTGATCCATCCATCCACCAAACGAGGTTTCTTTTTCTCTTGCTGCTCTGACCTCCTGGTATTCTGACCCAAGACCCCCTGAGGCCCCAACTCTGGCTGCTAAGGACAGTGAGACACAAGACCCTGAAATCTTCATACTTTGACGATTCTTTTGAAGGGAGGCTTGGACCCGCTAGAATGGGAAGTAGCCTGCTTTTACATCACCTTGTTCTGGGAAGGAGTGTGGTGCTCTGTCCTCACCCCTGAGGTGTTTGTCCCTGCCACAGTGGAGAGGGTTAGTGAGCGCCCGATTCTATGCTGAGATTCTACGCCTGTCTCTGCTCAGTGGGACCTGGGCGGGCGGGGGTGGGGTGGGGGTTGCGTGAGCTCTGTGTTCTGTTAGGAAGTAGCTTTAAATTAAGGCTGACAAAGTCGAAGTGAGAGAGTGGAAGGTAAAAATGAACGACCCCCCGCAGGGCTCATATCCTGTTGGAATCAGCCCCCGAGGAGCCAGTGAGGTTTTGATTAGGACGAGGGACCCAAGGGGCGGGGGCAGGGGGGAGGGAGGACAGGCATAGTTTTATGTAGGCCCCTTAGCTCTGTTGAGATTCGCTGTAGGATAAAGCTCGGTTAAAGGGTGTTTACCTCCAGTTGCAATTCATCCCTCATCGGGAGCATTTGCCAGTGTTGATCATTTCAAATTTATAGTCGGCGTCTCCTCTAACAAGGCCTGTGGGGTCCACGGCGTGGGGGCCGGGCTGGGCCAAAAGTCCCTTGTGGTCCTGGAGTTAGAGATTCTTTCTCCATTGAAGTTAGGAACAGGCTTTGGGGAATTAGCAGGTCTCCCCGAAGCCCAATATCACAGACTTTTCCCATCTTTTCAGAACAGTAAAGTTGGGTTTGAACCAGCTGTTTGAAACAAGAGTGAAAAAATTCTTTTAATAACAATCATGTTTGAAATTCGAAGGATTTTTCTTCTCACATACAATTGGTATGCAGAGGATGTAAATTTAGCTAAGCTTTTTTGGGTTTGTGTGTATCTAGGTATTTGTATTCTGTTGGGATATTTTATTTACTTAATTAAAAATAAAAGAAATGCATGTACATGCTTAAAATACGTCAGCAGTGTGGAAAGATGCAAGTGAAAGCTAGATGTATTTCTCTTCACGTGTCACCCCAGAAACATTTTGTACACAGATGGGACTACTTTGTATATACGGGTCTTTACTGATTTATTAATTTTTAAAAATTTTAAAATTTTTATTGATTTCAAAGAGGAAGGGAGAGAGAGAGAGAGAGAGAGAGAGAGAGATAGAAACATCATTGATGAGAATCACTGATTGGCTGTCTCCTGCACACTTCACACTGGGGATGGAGCCCGCAACCCAGCCATGTGCCCTGACCGGGATTCGAGCCGTGACCTCCTGGTTCATAGGTCGATGCTCAACCACTGAGCAACACCAGCCGGGCTGGTTTTAAACTTTGAAAGAAGATTGTTAGCAGGTAGGCCAGGGATATTGAAGGTCAGGGTCATTGAATTAAATAAACAAATACATTTACAGAGACTTAAGCAGATTAATAGCAAAAGCAAAACAAAACATCGTTACTGGACTGGCCTTTGCTTTGCGGGGGGAGCAGTGTGACCGTGGCTTCCCCTGGCAGATTGGAAGCTAGCTCCCTTCACCCTGGCTGACTTGCTGTGATGTGACATGATTACCACAGGGTGGAGTTTTCTGTTCTCAAAGAAGAACTTTCTAATGTGAATTCCGTTAATATCAGCAACAGAAGCCTATTAGGTCTCTGAGCACAGCACCCACCACGGTTGTATAGACACAACCGTGACAGTGGGAACAGAAATGAGGACTAGTCTACTGTGGCCCGGATTTCAGAGGCCCTGGAAGGGGGTGGGGTGAGGCGGGTTTGAGCTCCAGTCTGACCCCCCCACCTTCAGGTGTCGCACTTCAGCCGCAGTGATGCCTGGGGTGCCAAGCTGGGGGCGGCTTCCTTGTGGCTTTTGCAGTCTCTTGGGGAAAGGAATGGGGACTCAGGGCGAACCCCGATAAAATAGAGGTGCTGTTGGTGGCTGATGCTACTAGGTTTCCTGGAAAAGCGACTCTTTATCTACCACCCCCTCGATGAGAAAACATCTCAGACATGCAGACAGTTATAGAGGGTAATGTAGTGCACGCCATAGACTCACCACCAGGCTTAACGACGATAAAGCATTTCAGATGGATGCCTCTCGTATGCCAACTTCGTCAGCTTCCCTCCCTCCTCAAGTCGACACTCTCCTAAAATCCACCCCCTTGTCTTCCCCTAAAGATCGTTTCATAGGAAGAAAGGAAGGAGGGTGCCTTTTCTTGTTTCTTCTGTAGACACCATGACCTTGAACTTGAATGGAATAAAACGGCAGCTTGTTTGGCATTAAACCCGGCGCCTCCTATACTCGTTTCCTATTGCTGCTGTAGCAAATCGCTGCAAATCTGGAGTTCAAAACAACACGGGTTTACTGTTACAGTCCTGTGGGTCAGGGGTCTGACACGGGTCTTGCCAGGCTATGATCAGGGTGCCCTCAGGGCTGCGTTCCTCCTGGTCCCAGGGACAGTCTGTGTCCTTGTGTGCCCAGCTCCGGAAGCTGCCACCTTCCCAGGTCTGTGGCCCTTCCTCCGGCTTCAACGTCACCTGTGTCTGACCCTCCTCCTGTCCTCACATTTCTCTTCTTTCCATTTTGCCTTCTAAGGTGAGAGTCACAGGTTCTGGGGATCAGGACATGGGCATCGTTGGCGACTGTTAAACCTCCTACCACTCCTCCCATCAACTTTCTGATGGTGACTGTGTGTCGGGGTGGACGCCTGACAAATCATGCCTCCAGGGGTGCCGGGCCCACTGCTGGGGGCCCGCCTTGCAGGTGCCAGCCTGGCCTGGCCTGGCCTCTGTCCCTTCCTCGTCTGTGTGACTAGTGTTGTCAACCTCGGCAGGACTGACCTCTGGGGATAATTTTCTGTTGTGTTTGGCAGCACCCCTGGCCTCCACCCACTGGATGCCAGTAGCACACTCCCATCCCCCAGTTGTGACAACCAAAAATGTCCCCAGACATTGAAATGCCCTTTGGGGGGCAGTATTGCCCAGTTGAGAACTGCTGTAAACACCCACCTGGGTGAGAATCCATGAGACCTAAACAGGAGCCTGATGGTCAAGCCACCCCGTCCGTCCTGATAATTGTTTGGCGTGGTACAAATTCTCCCAGAAGCGATCGGTGGTAACTCTGGTCTGTGGTGAAGCGGTCTGTAGTCACGCCTAACCCTGTGCGTGCTCTGCCTGGGCTCCGGCATGGCCAGCCGTGGGGCCAGGAAGAGAAGGCGAGTCGTGCCTTTAGGGGCAGCTGTGAGTGCAGAGCCCCCAGGGGCCCAGGGGAGCGGATGCCATCACTGGGTTGGCACAGTCTTCCCAGGGACACAGTGGCTGTTGCATTTCACCTGTCTGCCCCCCTCCCACCGTTGTGTTCCTGTGGTTGACCTGTGAACCAGGACCCTCAGCCGTGTCTGACCTTCGACCCCGTGTTACCTGCAGGTGGCCCTGGTACAGTGGACCGAAAGTGTGGGCTTAACCCTGGTGGGCCGAGACCAGTCTTCCATGCAGCTGAGGACCCCTGGCGACCAGATCCTGAACTTCACCATCTTGCAGATCTTCCCTTTCACCTACGAGAGCAAGCGCATGGGCATCATCGTGAGGGTGAGTCCTCTCTGTTCATGACGGGGAATAGTTCAGAGCCCCCAAGGACACCGTGAATGTCCCCGTGGCTTGACCTTCTTTCTACCCCTTTTTATTATGTCCTCCGTTGCCCACACTAACAAGGGAACGTGAGTCCCTAAGCCAGTGGTTCTCAACCTTCTGGCCCTTTAAATGCAGTTCCTCATGTTGTGACCCAACCATAAAATTATTTTCGTTGCTACTTCATAACTGTAATGTTGCTACTGTTATGAATCGTAATGTAAATATCTGATATGCAGGATGGTCTTAGGCGACCCCTGTGAAAGGGTCATTTGACAGCCAAAGGGGTCGCGACCCACAGGTTGAGAACCCGCCTAAGCAGAAAGAAAAGTAGTTCATTCATCAGACAGAACCTCCGACAGCTGGTCAGCTTCTTGTTAACCACTGGTCTAAGGCAGTGGTCGGCAAACTGTGGCCCCTTGAGTGTGGCTCTTCCACAAAATACCACATACGGGCTCGTATGTACAGTGTGATTAAAACTTCGTGGCCACACTCAAGGGGCCAAAGAGCCGCATGTGGCTCGAGAGCCGCAGTTTGCCGACCACTGGTCTAAGGAATATAGACTGGGCACTTCTTGGTAAGAATATACTTCCATTGTATGCTCTTTTGTTTAATTAAATGTATATCTTTTATTGAGGTGAAGTTCATTTAACATGAATGAGCCATTTTAAATGTATAAGTCAGTGGCATTTAGAATATTCACAATGCTGTGCACCCTTTTGTCAAGTTTCAGAATGTTTTTATCATCCCAAAGGGAACTTGTACCCACTAAGCAGCCACTCCCTGTCTCTTCTTCCCCCTACTCCCTGGCAGTCACTAACCTGCTTTCTGTCTCGATGGATTTACCTGTTCTGGGCATTTCATATATTAAGTGGAATCACACAACATGTGGCCTTTTGTGTCTGGTTCCATTCACTTAGCATAATGTTCTCGAGGTTCATCCATGTCGAAACAGGTATCAGTACTTCATTCCTTTTTATGGCTGAATAATATTCCACATTGCTATCCATTCATCCATTGATGGGCAGTTGGGTTGTTTGCACCTTTTGGCTGTTGTGTCTAATGCTGCCAGGACATGTATGTACAAGAATTATAATACCTGTTTTCAGTTCTTCAGGGTGGAATTGCTGGGTCATGCTCGGTCAGTTACTCAATTTGCTGGGTAATTCTATTTTTGAACTTATGAGGAATGTCTAAATTCTTTCTGCAATGCCGCACAATTTTACATTCCAGCCAGCAGTATACGAAGGTTCCAGTTCTTCCACATCCTCATCAGCACTGTTATTTTACATGTTTTAAATTACAGCCATCCTAGTGGTTGTGAAGTGGCATTTCATTGTGGGTTTGATTTGTATTTTCCTAATGACTGATGGCGGGGAACATCTTCATTTGCTTATTGGCCACTTGTATATCTTTCATGGAGAAATTTCTATTCAAGGCCTTTGCCCACTTTTTAATTGGGTTGTTTGTCTTTTTGTTGTTTGTTGTATATAGTCTGGTTACTAGAGCTTTATCCAAGATATGATATGCAAATGGTTTCTCTCATTCTATAGGTTGTCTTTTACTTTATTGATAAAATTCCTTTCATGCACAGAAGTTACTAATTTCAAATAAGTCCAGCTTGTCAGTTTTTTCTTTTGTTGATCTTGACTAGGTATCATATCTAAGAGTTCATTGGTAAATCCAAGGACATGAATTTACTCCTATATTTCCTTCTAAGAGTGTTGTAGGTTTTGCTTTTTAGGCCATCGATCCCTTCGGGGTTAGTTTTTGTATATGGTGTGAGGTAGGGGTTCAACTTCATTCTTTTGCATGTGGAGCTCCAGTTGCCCCAGGACCATTTATTGAAGACACTATTGTTTCCCCATTGAATAGCCTTGACACCCTTGTTGTCATTAAATATTTTCAATGGGTTTTCATTTGTGCAATCACAACATTATTGAAGAAATGTTTACTCAGCATCATTTGCCATATTTATTTTAGAACTTCTTTTTATGCTTTTGAAACTTTTATTGAACTACAGCATACACAGAGAAAAGCACAAACATCTGAAATGTGTACACCCAAGTGCTTACAAAGTTAACACACCCATGCAGTCAGCCTCCAGAGCAAGGAACAGAAGTCCCCCACCGTCACCCTTAGCTCCCTCATGCCCCATTTCTGCTCACTACATCCCCCTCCCTATAAGGATATAACCACTGTCCCACTTCTGTCATTGATTAATTTTGTCTCTTGTTGAACTTTATGTAAAGGAAATTGTACAGTAGATACCCTTTTGAATTTGAATTCATTTGCTCAAATTTTTATTTCTAAGATTCACCCATATTTTTGCATGGATTGTAGCTCAGAAATTTTCTTAAAGAAATAGAACATGGCCGAACCGGTTTGGCTCAGTGGATAGAGCGTCAGCCTGCGGACTCAAGGGTCCCAGGTTCGATTCCGGTCAAGGGCATGTACCTTGGTTGCAGGCACATCCCCAGTAGGGGGCGTGCAGGAGGCAGCTGGTCGATCTCTCTCATCGATGTTTCTAACTCTCTATCCCTCTCCCTTCTTCTCTGTAAAAAATCAATAAAATATATTAAAAAAAAGAAAGAAATAGAACATGCATTCAATCGAAGTCTCCCCATCTGCCACTCCTAGAAGTGTCTCCTGCACCAAGTTCCTCATTCTTTTTTTTTTTTTTTTTTTTTAAATATATTTTATTGATTTTTCACAGAGAGGAAGGGAGAGGGATAGAGAGTTAGAAACATCGATGAGAGAGAAACATCGATCAGCTGCCTCCTGCACACCTCCTACTGGGGATGTGCCCGCAACCCAGGTACATGCCCTTGACCGGAATCGAACCTGGGACCCTTGAGTCCGCAGGCCGACGCTCTATCCACTGAGCCAAACCGGTTTCGGCAAGTTCCTCATTCTTAGGAATTTTAAAATACTGTTATCAGACATGTTGAGTATAAATAATGTATATCATGGAGTTACATATTTTTATTCTTTCTCTAAGAGGCATTGTAGTCTATCATTTTTGCACTTCCTGTTTTTTGTTTAACACTAACTAAACTTAATGCTAAATTTACACCCACTTCATTAAGCTTAGCTGACTTTTGGTACTGCATTTTGTGACTATGCCCCTCTTCCTTCTGTCTTTTGCGGTTCTCTCTTGATAGACACTAGTTAGCTGCCACTAGCAAGAGCACAGCTCTGCGTAGCCTTGTCTGCTCGAGGCTCCATTGTATGGATGTCGGTTTCTCTGTGCAGTTCTCCCAGAGGGAGAGTTGCTGGGTTGTAGAATATGCAGATCTTTAACTCCGCCAGGCATCCTTGGCTCTTTCTCAAAAGGGCTTGCTCTAATCTCAGCCCCCCCCATGCTCCCCCACATTGGATAGTGTCAGACTTTCACAGTGTTGCCTGTCTGAGGAGTCTGAATGAGCATCTTGTCTACCTACTTGCACTTTTACTCATAGAGACCACACTTTCCATCCAGGGAAGCCTGGGAACCCTGGGGTCATAGGCCACTTTCTTCTTAAACCTGGCTGGCCACCAGCATGACCGGGGCGCTCAGTGCGTGCAGGTGACCTGGTGCCATCCCAGTCCTGTTTGGGCATTGGGCGGTTGCTGGTGTGTTTAAAGGTTCTGTGCACTACCTGGCATGGCTGGAGAAAACTCTGCCTCAGATCATGAGAATCTTTGGAATAAGAGTCTCATTTTTTTCTGGATTTTAAAAAAACCAACTCCACAAATGAGGATCTCTCCCACCCTATCTACACCACCCCTAGGGATCCAAGTTGTAGATTCTATTACAGTCATTAGTAATAGTAGTATTAGGAATTGGGAATAGTAGTAATAGCCTGCAACCTGGGCATGTGCCCTGACCGGGAATTGAACCGTGACTTCCTGGTTCATAGGCCGATACTCAACCACTGAGCCACGCTGGCTGGGCCCAGCAGCTGCTTTTACACTCCATGGGGCGTGTGTCCTTGGCACTGGGGGGCTGGAGGGAGCTCCCCTCCCACAGACCTGCTGCTTTTCTCGCTGGTCTCAGCCTCCATGACCCAGGGCCTCCGCATCGGCAGCACGCATCTGATGTGGGGAGCACCCGTGGCCTCGGAGCCACAGCGTAAATCCTGGGGAATTAGAGCCATTATCTCCTGTGGAATCACTTTAACTTCGTTCCAGCCTTTATTTTTCCAAGTGTGAGGCCATGGGCTCTGCTAAAGTCATTTCAGGGTTGAATCATCAGGACTGGCCCCCGTATCAGCCATCCTAGAACGAGTGGGCAGCGTGCACCCGCCCTTCCTCTAGTGGGAAGGGACTCTCATTCCCAGACACTTTGTCAGGTGTGTCCCCGCGTCTTCCCACAGCAAGAACAGGACTCATGCCTGGAAGTGGGATACTCTTGGGTGGGCAAATGCATCATCTGAAAACAGCACTCCCTCCTACCCAGGTTATAAAAAAGTCAGCATTCAGTTGACATTTGGAACAAATAATTATATAAAGAAGAAGATCAAAACTGCTTGTCTTTATTTTCCCACCAAAGGCGGCCGCGGTAACCTTCTCGGAGAATTTCCCATCAGTTTTTTCCAAGCGTGTGAGTGTGCATATCTGTGACCATTTTTATAAAGTTGGCATTGAACTCCACAGGAGGCTTCCTAAACTGCTCCTCTCCAGTGAGCTATGCATGGTGAAAATGTTCTCCTATTGTTAAAACATGATTTTTTAACATGACTTTTAATGTGTGCATGGTGTTTTGTTGGAAAAAAGTGTACCATTATTTAATTGAATATATATATATTTTTGGGTGCTTAGGTTTTTCATTTCTCGCTGCTGAAGGTACATGTATGAGCAGCCATCTTTGGTTGGCTGTCTTGGACGCGATGCCTATTATTTTGCTAATTTTTCTTGGTTTCTGACCTGTCTTCCTCTTCCTCTTTGCTTTTGATGGGTGGAAGTCGGCACCCAGGGCGTTTGGACCAGTTTTGCATTTTGCATGACTCTCACTCAGGTTCTCATGCTGGGGCCACCTTGCCCGCAGGGGACGTCTGCAACTACCTGGTGACAGTGTTGGTTGTCACAGCTCCAAGGGTGGCATCTGGTGGGTGGAGGCCAGGACGGCCTCCTCACAAAGAATCCAGCGCCACTGCTCACTGTGGCGGGCCCGGGAACTGAGTGCGAACGTGTCCATGTATCCTGTCTGTTATTTGAAAGTAACCGTCCGTTACCTGATGTGACGACGTCTCAGTCAGTGATAGAAGCTCTTGGTTTCTTCGTGACGGTTGAGTTGGGGTTTGCTCTCTCCTGGTTCATCAGCCCTTTCAAACGTGTGGGCTCCTGGGCAGGACGTGGTGGTACCGTCTGGTGCTCACAGAGCGAGGTCGGGTCTGCGTGAGTCTCTCTCCTCAGAAGGTGGGTACGGCTCAGAGGAACCAGCTTCTTCGGGCTCGTGTGCTTGTCCTTTTGAAGGGACGAGCCTGCCCTGCTTTTCTTCCGCACAAGATGTCCCACGGCCTCCCCACGTGGAGCGATGCAGTCGGGCCGTTGGCGTAGATCATCCCCTTGTCATTGTTTGAACAGAAGAGGCCTTTGAACAGGTGCCAGCACCAGACCACAGTGGAAAAAGACGAGGCCCCCAAACAATGCCACACACCCGGCCGATCTCTGTAAATTTATAGCGTCATCTTGCCATAATATGGGAACGAAGTAACCTGGTGATGAACTTGGTGGGAGGAAATGACTAAGGGGAGGAGACAGTCAACACAGTATTTACATTGGACGGGAGGCTGAGCTCTCTCGAGTCCCTGCTGGAGGAGAGGAAGCTGGGGAGGGGCCTCATTTCCTACCGCGCTCTTGTTCAGCACCATTTGGGTGAAGGGGAAGAAAAAAAAACAGACCTCCGAGGCTTTCATGTTCAGACCCCACAGCTCTCCTTGGCCTGAGTCACCCGCGAGCATGGGCGCGATCTGTCGGCGATAAGGCACACCCCCCGGAGCTTTCAGACGCAGGGGGCGCTGTGTGGCGGGCGGTGCTTTTCTGAGTAATCATGTTGTTCTAAAAAGATTGTCAGGGATTAGAGGGCTTTGAAAGTAATTTTAAAAGAGGAAGCTGTACCACTGATTTGGCGTTGTGTTCTTCCTTTGTGGGAAGCGTTAACAGGCACGCATTCTGGGCGTCCGGGCAGTAAAATTTAGGCCCCGGGAGGCGGGGGGTGGGGAGGGTGGTGGTGGTGGTGATGGCCACGCTCAGTTCCCTTGCCCATCTCCCTGCCTCCAGCCTCCAGCCTCCCCATGATGGGCATCATCGAGGAAAGAGTCGTGTGAGGGCAAGAACCAGCCATCTCCCCGTCATCCCTCAGAGCCAGCAGTCCTCAGCCTTGGCGCTATGGGCGTTTGAGGCTGGGTGGTTCTTGGTTGTGAGTCTGTCCTGTGCACTGTAGGATGTTCAGCAGCCTCCCTGGTCTGTACTCACTAGACTCCTGCAGCACCCCCCCCCCCCACTCTGACAACCAAAAATGTCTCCAGACATTGCCCCATGTCTCTGGGCAGGGGGTGGGGGGAATTACCCCCATTGAGGACCTCTGTGCTGATAAGCCTCCTTCTCCACATACGGAGTGACTGAGGGCTATAGAGTTACTGCCACTCAAGCGGGAAGGGGTGCGGGGGGGGGTGGCATTTTCTGTGTGTCTGGCCCCTTTGCTACGTGCTCTACGTAGATGGTCTCGTTTAAGCCTCTGCAGTAAGAGTTGTTAGGGTCCCTATTTTACAGGTGAGGAAAACAAAGGGTTAGAGAAAAGATGTAGCTTGTCTCGTGGGGATCGGCTGGGGCTGGTACCAAGGTTTGAGCATTTGATGGCTGTACAGTGGGTA